GGGAGAAGGGAAACACAGAAAAACAATACGGACAGCCTTACTCTGATAAAGCAGATCAGACACTGTCACAGAAAGATATTTGGCCTTGAGGTGTACAAGCCCCTTCAGCTGATAATGGCACGTGGCAGGTAAGACAGCAACAGCATCATGACTGTTTCTCACTACTAGAAGGGTAACGCTATTTTTCAGGGCATTATCATTTGCAGAAGCCCGAGATTTTCTATTAACTGCCCGACAAAGGAGGGCAGTTGAAAAGACCGAGGGCTTCTGCAAATGATAATGCACTGAAAAAGAGCGTTACCGTTATTATAGCTAAAATGGATGGAATTTGTTATCAAATAAAAAGAAACAACAACATCGGTTTTGAAACACTTACTGCAATCAACACGAATGTCACTGACCACATTTTACAAATATGGAAACGTCATAGAACAAACCAGATGACGTCACTATAATACGTGACGTCATTTTCTCTACCCTATGACGTCACCTAACAACGGACTTGATAATGGCCCGTCGTCAAGCAATATGAGGGCATTATCAAGTTACAGTGGCCCGCTCATTTTTGATAACGTGCGGGCGGTTTAATGATAATTCTATCCATTTTAGCTATAATATGTGTGAATACATATACTGCAAGCGTTACAGCACCATCCCATATTCTGCCCTTTATTGTAAAACAAATGGGACTGTGATATGACAGGTAGCAAAATACACAAAAGACAGGCCAACCAAAATTCAGATCTGTCTTGACACCCTTTAGCCATCCAGCCCCCACCTCCCCCCACCCCCACAAATAAACAGACTTCACTGGAAAATAATTGTACTACGCTCTAAACAATACCCACAGTAAGATATAATAAAAACACTAAGTATTGAGCGTAAGTAAAACACGTGTGTTGCTTTTCGAAGCCAGAGAAATGAGGACGAGATCTCGTTTTCTCTGGCGAGATTACGTTAAAAGGCTTATACTTCTGGAAGTTAGAGACACATCGTATTTAGACCTTATTTCAGTTTACGAAATAAAATTGTTTTTAACACATTATCACAAAATGTACAGTGACATTTTGTTCTTGCTAAGATTTCATCTCAAGTGTGAAGGACAGTATTTTCCCATATAAAAATGAACCCCACGAGGTGGGTGTGTATTATATCCATGTGGGACACATGGAGCAAGGGACATTGACGAAATAAATTACGTCCCTTCCTTCCTGACATCCAATATTTTGGGGCAAAACTCTATAAAACAAGATGTTAAATTGGTCTTGCCTAATATGGAATTAAACGATGAAGTTTTCTTTCACAGTCCTAATATTGAAAATAAAACAGATATACAGTAGATAAGCTGTAGAAGGGGGTGCAGAGGGGGATGCCCATGATACACACCTACAATGAGTCATGATGACCTGTGAAGATTTGGGGTAGAATAGATCTTCAGCAACTCATCCTTGACGTAAGAGGCGACTAACGGATCAGGTGGTCAGACCAGCTGACTTGGTTGATGCATGTCATCGTGTCCCAATTGCATAGATCGATGCTCATGATATCAATCACTGGATTGTCATGTCCAGACTCAATTATTTACAGACCGCTGTCATATAGCTGGAGTATTGCTGAGTGCAGCGTTAAACAACAAACAAACAAACAAACAAACAAATCTTCCCCAACACCATTACCATGAGCATGTAGAATCGAAAATAGCATGCCAACAAACCAATACTGGAGTGTGCAATTTAATCCTAATATTACACAATCTGGTTATAAAAAGCATTCATTGTATATCTCTAGTCTATTTTGATAATTTTATTGAAAATTTCATTCAATCATGTTCACGTTTATTTCGGTGAAATCATTGTGTGGATTGGACAGATGGCACCAACTTACCGTTATTTACAGAAACTCCAATCAAATTACCACTACTGATGCCTTGAAATGAACCTTAGACTTAAGGCTAATTAGACAGAGAATGGAAACATATCATAAATGCTCTACTGACCCTATGGTTACTATGGTAACATGAATATAATATGTACTTTATATTCAACTTGATAATATTTCACAGAAATCGAAGTCCAGTTAGCTGTGCAATCAGCGAATGTTTGATGACGCTATTGCAGTCCAGAGCGATGTCATGTCTACAGCTGTTTCAGGTGTCAAGGTCAAATTGCCCATAACATTTAACCGTTATATGCAAAATGCCACTAAATATTATTACAATTACAATGTATCATGTTCACAGATGTTATTGAGTTTTCATGCCTGAATTAATATTAAATAAAACCTGTAAACACAGTGTAAAAGTGGAAAAACATTATTCAGTTTGTTACAATTACAATATCTTAATTTAGCTGTTACTTAATTACCGGTAATATGTAATTGATTTAACAAAATCAATGAGGCATGGCGGGTTTCATTAATTAGAGTATGACATATTTCTTTAAAATGGATTATCTTTTGATGGATGTATACACGTATGTGTATAAATATGTTTGTTTGTTTGTTTGTTGTTTAACGCCGCACTCAGAAATATTCCAACTATATGACGGCGGTCTGTAAGATAATCGAGTCTGAGCATCGATTGGGATCTATGACATGCATCAGCCAAGTCAGCGAGCCTAACCACCCGATCCCGCTAGTCGCCTTTTACGACAAGCATCGTTGCCTTTTATGGCAAGCATGGTTTGCTGAAGACCGATTCTACCTAGGAATCTTCACGGGTCGTGTATAAATATACTTTGTAGGGTTTTACCATCCACAAACTATTGCATCCTGTATGCTCACAAAGGGAGGATGGATGTGCATAATTTCTTGGGATGGATATTGGAGGTTTAAAATGTATCACAATAGTTTGAAATGCACAAGGCCATATTGCGATACGTATTACCATATATGGCATCATTCTAAATTTTGAATTCAGAAGCAATCTGATAATTTAAGGTATGAAGTTCATAAATGTTCAAAACAAGATGCTGGTACAACATAACGTTTACTCAGTCAAAAAATACAAGCCTTCTTTGGGCACTGGATGCACGATCCGGGGCAGCGAAGGCATTTAGCAAGAATATAACAATAAACACATGATAAAAATCGTTATTTGAAATCACCCAATATATCGAGCATGAAAAAATTATATCGCGATACGTATCGCGGAAAGAATGAACCTCAATTTACCGATATACCGATAATACCCCACCTGTTAATAATTTCATTTTGAGTCCTGGAGGGTTGCTAAAAGGTATTGATTTATAAGCCAATAAAACTAAAAGCATGTAAAAATATGCTCATATTTCAGAGAATCAATGGTCGATTTGCCGACATTGAAATTCCCATCTGTTGGTGACATGTATTGGCCTGTCTTATGTATTGCAATTAAGTGATTCATATTGCAATACATACCACAATATATTGCATGCATTTTGTATTTTCAGTGGCTGATGAGCCATATGTGCGTCATAAACTTTGTGTTTCCCCCGATTTTATTTCAGAAAAGAGTCACAGTGTCTGCACACTTTGCCAACAAGATGATAATATGCATGATTTGAAAAACACAACATAAAAGTAATTTCCATATGTACTATGATACGGATTCATTGGATTGAAAATCATGGCGTAGTACAGCCACCTCTTCCATCTGTTATAGGCATAAGGCTTCTGAGCATGTGAAATGATATGACATCAGAACATCTTGGATATGAAGGGACATTTGCAGATGTCGACAGCTTGGAACCTCCGTGTTCATTTCCTGAATCGCACTAAAATATTACTTAAAGTCCCCTGGACTAGACCATATATAAATCCACGTACATATATGTAGTTTGTAATACACTACACTTTATCAAGTTTATGAACAATCTGCTGAGGGTGAGGGCTGGTACGAGTCCAAATTTACTACCCAGGTACCCGAGCCCCTGCTACCCGACCCTACCAGGGTACCCACTGTAGGTCTCAAGAGTTGGGAACGAACTGTTTCACCGCATCCAATGTAAAAACATTTTAGATACATGTATTAAATGATCAGATCATGCGTACACAGAAGTTGACTGAAGCTATATCTTTACTCAAACATATACAAGTCAAAAGGAATGTGTGCATCATCAGAAAGAAATGCGAACATCAGCAACTTGTAGTGTAACCATTGAGCTACAGTGAGTTTTTGTCATTAAACAAAATGTCACAGGACTAACCACAGGTCTGGGTAGTAATGTTGGTACCAGGGTCCTACTCAGGACCCACCGGACCCATGTACCCATGTACCCATATTACCCATCCCAGCCCTACTGAGGGTCTTCCTTCACAGAATATATACATCTTCAAAGGCTGAACAGCTTGTCATGTCTCTCCAACTGCATACAGTGAACTGATGTGACCTCAAGGTCATTGCAGTTCTGTAAAGGGAAATAACTGTGCAAAGAAGTCATCATTTGCTGCAAACAACAATAACAACCAAACAACATGCATCTTCACGAGGCAAGGGAGTTAACTGACTACAAAAGTCCAGTTCCCAGCCTTGCTGAACTACACAGGGAATTTTTGTGGTTCAATCGTAGCGCCACCAGTGGCTATTACAAGTTATGTTCCTTCTATGTCCCTCCTACTGACCAATCAGATTCAACCTCTCATATCAATTGCACTTGCTTCAAACCAAATGATGGCGCTCAGTCAAGACTATCGGATCGATAATCAAGATCTATGTTGTAACAAAACGGGTCTTACCTCGGAACATGCATCAAATCATTTGAGCAACTTGATTAATAACATGAAAAGATTTGGAAAGTATCTGTGGACTCCCAGCTGACAGTAGCCATGTTTGGCAAATCCTGCAGTCGATGGAAATCTGCACATTGAAATCCATGTGCGAATTTGATTGGACTATGTATAGACTCGTAAGTCCAGCCTAAATGTAACTCCATAATTCCAGCCCAGTTCGGCATGGGTGGAAACTGGACTTTTACAGTCAGTTAACTCTCTTGCCTCGGGAAGATGAACAACATGTCACCTACCTCGTCTCGCTTTCTCAGGGAAACCGATTCATCTTCAAACACCCAGTTGTTTTCCTCACCCGATGATGCCATGGAGTTCTATCCCAGGTATCCAAATGACTGAATTAACTGCAACAAAGAAGAAAGAAGCTCAATATATATGTCACTTTGTTTTTATTCACTATTACAACACAATTATTAATGTCAATTCATTACTTCTGTCACATCACAGTATCAAATGGGCTGGACTTAGAAGCCTACAAAGAGTGAATATGATTTTCTTTTTATTTCACCCCCTGCAAAGTTGTTGAACAAACATAAATGCAAACAACACATTAAAATACAATACAAATGAGACCAGCTGAACAAACACTGCAAATATGGCCATTTATCCAGATAAAATTGAAGAACAAAAAAATAGAATCTAACATGTCTTTACTTCATGCTTTCCACCTCTCATCCTACCGACCTGGAATCCCCTGAATGTGCCCACATTGATATTGCAACGTAAAATCCTGAAGTATTCTAACAATATACATAACTTAATATGACAAGGGTAGTTGTGTGCATCATAACACAATGTCAGTCATATCTTCAGGATCTTGTCGGCTATCCTGTTCATAGCCAGAACTCCAGATAAGCTGTGTATTTGCGTAAAATACGGATAAGATAAACTGAAATACACAGACAAATCAAATCCTAGCGTATAAAATATGCAACAAAAACTGTAATAAATATGCTATTAAAATAAAATTTATGCAGATATTATAACCAGGGATACAGAAATCGTGTTGTGCGCCGGACTTGTCCGATTGTGACTGCAAAATGTCCGATTTGAAATATTGCAAACCGGACATTTAAAAAATCGGTCAACATCAGTCACCACAGGTAGATTGACCTACATCCCTATAGGTTGAAATTGTATATATTAGATCTATGTATCTATCGAGTGTTGTATGCTATAAAACACATCATAGATCTGTCACTTCAGCGAATTCAGGTGAATGAAAAGGTATAACACACTTGGTCAATAAAAATATGAAATTTGATAAAAAACTTCGCTAGACATGATGATTTACCATTTAAATTGTATTTCCTGCTCTCCAAGGCATTGTTTTATATGCAGCGATTCCGTGTGTATTTTCTTGGAAACTAAGCCAGAAATAACAATCAGCTGGGCACTCGTTCTCGCAACAATCTACTGGTGATTCAGTCAAAAAGTACTATCAGATGAAACAATTTTGTATATTACAACTGTTAGATGAATTAAAGATTGTGTATCAGCCGATCACCAAATTCACTTACTGGCATTTACAATCTGAAAAGCTTCTGCAACAATTTGCCAACAAACAAACTGATAGATTTCAATTGAAAAGCAGATCCAGACAATGTACCATTGTCTCTTATTTAGTCGCTGATTGGTGATTAAAGAAATAAACAAATTAACAAAAAATGGTTTCCGGAGAGGGAGCCGCAAGCAGACGCAGACGGGTATACTACTATTCACATACTCTTACAGGGATTGTTACGAAACAGGTTTTAAGTTCAATACCCAAAATGTCAAGAAAAATGTGGGTAAAAAAATTGAATACCCCCTAAAACTTGTGGATACCCAATCAAAATCAAACCCCTGGCTAAAATACCCTATTTACCCAAAGCTTATCTATAGCTCTGCAAAGAAGCTCGTAGATTTAAAACACTTGCCGACCTGATAAAAGAACATGAGTCAATGCAACACAAAGCAGTCCCAGAAAAACAGTTCTGTCAATAACAATATTTTTTACTTCTACTTCAAACATACACATCCATTTTCGTCCATTTATACAAACATATATGTCACTAAGCACATAAAATAATGTCCCATAAACTAAATTGAATATTCTTCTCAACATTTTAAGCACACATGTGAGAATAGATCCACCCAAAAAACACTTAGTCATAAACTATTGGTTTCTCTTTGTAAGTGTCTTTGGCCATTGAAACCTTTCACGCCAGTTGAACAGCAGGAGTTTTCTACCTTCGTATCTTTCACCTATTTCCTTGGCTGACTTGTCACCAAGCCCCAAGCGACATTTTTAATGGGTAGAAACACTGTCACCTGGTGACTACAGTCGCTGTCCTACTGCGTTTCCAGTCACATCAAACAACAATTTTTATAAACCATGTCAGAAGCGTGGCAATTTCTAAATGACATGGCAATAAAAAGAGACAAACAAATTTGAATTGTGGTTCTCATTCTGACAGATATGTCAGCACAATGACTGAAACACAAATGAAACAACATATCAATGTCACTCCAACTCTCCCCAGGCTTTTTGAGGAATACTCACATGGTAGAAAACTCCTGAACAGTGAAGACAGTTTTTCGACTTTAGTTGGTTGGTTGGTTTATTGTATAATGCAGCACTCAGCAATATTCCAGCTAAATGATGGCGGTCTGTAAATAATCGAGTCTGGACCAGACAATCCAGTGATTTATATCATGAGCATCGATCCACGCAATTGGGATCGATGACATGGATCAACCAATTCAGTGAGCCTGACCACCCGATCCCGTTAGTCGCCTCTTACGACAAACATAGTCGCCTTTTACGACAAGCATGGGTTGCTGAAGACCGATTCTACAGCGGATCTTCAGAGGTTTTCGTCTTTAAAAAGACACACTTCATTTTTACTATTGCGACTATCAATTAGGAGATCAACTGTGTTTTGAAATTTGATGTAGTCCCACTGTGGAGTAGATACAATTATTTTAATTTGGAACCGAGCGTTTTAACCAATCAGAATAAAACAATCATCAATGTCATGGTAGAATTGAAGATATTTTAAAATGGAACAAGACTTTAAAAAACGTTGTTTTATGGGTTCCCGACAATATAGATAGAAAAAGAAATAAAAATCAATTCTGTACAGCAGTACAGTGAACTACGTACATAACGAACACGCTTATAACGAAGTGACAAATTCAACGAACTGTTCGTTTGGCTCTGGACATTTGCTGTATATTTTATCATATAAAACTGATGGGTATAATGAACACGCTTATAACGCTTGTGTCTGTATGTTATTGAAATATGTTTTATTATAGCTAAAATGGGTAGAATTATCATTAAACCGCCCGCACGTTATCAGAAATGAGCGGGCCACTGTAACTTGATAATGCCCTCATACTGCTTGAGGACGGGCCATTATCAAGCCCGTTGTTCGGTGACGTCATAGGGTAGAGAAAATGACGTCACGTATTATAGTGACGTCATCTGGTTTGTTCTATGACGTTTCCATATTTGTAAAATGTGGTCAGTGACATTCGTGTTGATTGCAGTAAATGTTTAAAAACCGATGTTGTTTCTTTTTATTTGATAACAAATTCCATCCATTTTAGCTATAATAACGGTAACGCTCTTTTTCAGGGCATTATCATTTGCAGAAGCCCTCGGTCTTTTCAACTGCCCTCCTTCGTCGGGCAGTTAATAGAAAACATCGGGCCTCTGCAAATGATAATGCCCTGAAAAATAGCGTTACCCTTATATTAATGTTATGTATGATGAGTAAACATAGTACATGTACAGTGCACACTTATTATCGAGTAATTTATCGAGTAACATGTGGTCACATGACTTTCATCCAAGGTGTCTGACGGTCAAAACGCATATAACAAACGACGGATATAACTAACAAAAATTAGTGGTCGCTTTGAGTTTGTTATAACCGTAGTTTACTGTATATTCCTTATTCCTCCAAATACTTGTTCACGATAAAGAAAACTGTGCACCCATGTTAAATTGCATGATCGATGAGTCAAGCTAACCTATGCTCACACATCACCAGTTAGAAGTTAATATATCTGAAATCAATTAATTAATCCGAATTGTTATTTTCTCCCTTCCTTTTTCCCCACCTACTGACCAGAATTTCACAAAAAAATCTACAACTAAGAAACTACTAAAAATCTTCTAAAATATTGTTTTAAACGATCAAACAAAGTTTATTAGAATTGACTTGTGTGAATACTGTCAGTCTTGAAATTAATGCGTCTCCAAATTAATACGACTGCTGACCCCTAGCCAAAAATGTGACTCAATCTCAATGTGACTCCCCCACCCCATCCCTAGTGGAATGATGCATATCCTTACCTTAATCCAATCAAACAGCAAATAGCACGACTTATTAGCACTGAACAAAGCACTTCTGTAATAACAAATAAACAGTGTTTTCCTAAAGACAACTCACAGTTTATTTGTTTATTCTGCTGATTGGCATTAAGGAAGTTCAAAGGCAATAAAATAATTGAACCAACAACAGTTCACTGATTTGAGTGGTTAATGATGCCTAGTTTATCAGGCATGGGTTGAACACCCCAGCAGTGATAACTCACCGGATATCTATTGTGTAATTCTTATTAAAACATTGACATTGTTATGTACTTGTTACAACTGCTGCTCAATAAACCGTGTTTATGTGCATTATATATTCAAGTTGGCATTTCCGCTTTCCGGAAAGCAGTGAGGCTGTCTTCATAGTTGATTGTCATTTTGGAGACATAAATGTGAAGTATCATTAATGCGAACAAAGACCACTCACATCTGTCGCATTTAATTCACGCTCACGTTAATTTCAAGATTTATAGTACATAAACTGTACTGGAATACTTATCAAACTATGCATCCGATTTTATTCATAAAACTAAAATAAACTTGACTTTGCCTTATGTATTGGAAAATGAGTATAATTTACGTAAATTTAATTCAAATACATTACACAAAAGCATACGAAAAAATATAAACAGATGTCAAAATTGGTTTAATTTAATCCAGATGCCTAATGAAAAAGGTTCTTGTTTCTTTCGAAGTACAATTGTGTATCACCTGTTGGTAGGATTGTCAATGATAAAAACTTTCTTGAGCATAATCAACAGCTTGTGCAGCCAAGAAATAAAGTCATCAAAATCACATCTGTCCTCATTCGGCGCATTTGGGAACCTCGTGGTTAAAGCGTTGGCTCATCACGCCGAAGATCCAGGTTCGATTCCCGACATGGGTACAATGTGTGAGCCCTTTTCTGGTGTCCCCCGACATGATATTGCTAGGATATTGCTAAAAGCGGCGTAAAACCATACTAACTCACTCACT